AATACATGTAATTAAATATGTTGGTAACACTTTACAATAAGGTTTCATTTGTTTAATTTAAAGTTATATGAACAATAACAATCAACATACTTTTACAGCATTTATTAATCTTAGTTAAAGTTAATCTCAACATTTACTAAACCATTCAAGTCAAAGGTCTGTTTGTTATTAAATGCACTGTGAACTAACATGAGTGTGAACATTATTAACTAATGCTATCAAAAGTTGATAAATTCTGTAAAAATATATTACTCATTGTTAGTTCATGTTAGTTAATGCATTAACTAATGTTAACAAAATGAGACCTTACTGAAAGTGTTACCAATAATATGCTTCAGCTTCATGTTATTTTGAAGCCATTTATTCAATTTGACTTCGAAAAGTTCTATTTAACTCTACAAATACTGGTTAGTTTTCTTTCCTAAAAAAGAAACTGACTGTATTAATTGCATTAAAATATTTAAAAAAAATGTTAATTGAAATTAGTATTACGTTTTAAAATCCATCAGCAGCCCTGTTTAATACAAATTTATCAACAAAATACTAATAATTTAAGCAAACTGAAAAACCTTCAGCATGAAGGCTGATATTTTATTGTCCGTACACACAATCTCAAATAGGAGTGACTGTTTGTAAAATGAGACATTTTGGCTTTCGCTCTTTGCACATATTATCTTGGGCCTTCGATATGGGACAAGTTGAACCGTGACCCATGAGACACTTTCATCAACGTCAACGCTCAAAGTCACACCAGCCTAGGCTTGACAAACATCTTGCATCATGATCTTAGCTACCGTCTCAACTTTGGCCTACAGGGTCAAAATGAGCTCTGACTGAACCCAGCGGACCTCAGCGTCCCAGATTACAGGTCACCCTGTCAAACGTTTCCTAGTTCTCACTGTAATGAGAGGAACCGGTTTGTGCAGATGTGAAGAAACATTATCCTCAAATACATTCCTCTCATCAGCTAGCTCAGTCTGATCATTATGGCTGAGTTATTGAAATCAGACTGCAGTTGCTTCCAAGCTGTGACTGTCACCACAGTATCAGTCAAGCTTTGGACGATTTTTCAAAACCCATGACGTGTAGGAAACAACCGATTTGGTTCAAACCTTCGGTCACAGTTACACAAGACAGATCATGTGAGAGGTCCAAAAGAAATCTGTGTGCGTGTACTTGCACAAAGGCATCTTTGTGATTGTGTGTGTGTGTGTGTGTTTGTGTCAATGTTGGGACCTCAGAAAGCGAGAGAGACTGTGTTCGGATGCAGATTACTCTGTTCTGCATTTCAAAACAACATTTCCTCCACATTCAACTGGATTCATGTGGATACAGAAGTGTGAACAGGCCCAAAACACCTCAGAAGACCCTTTGAACAAAAGACCTGAGGACGTCTGGAGCAAAACCAAGAAAATCATCCACTTCAGCTGTAGCCTAGATGGAGAGCAAACTTAAATGAGTAGTTCAGCCAAAAATTAAAATGCTGCCAGAAGATATTTTGAAAAAAATGCTTTTTTTTGTCTATACAATGAAAGTCAGTGAAGTCCAGTTTGTTCATTCTTCAAAATATCTTCAATTGTGATTTCCAATGAAGAAAGAAAAGCCATACAGTTTCGAAACAACATTGGGGGAAGGACGTGATGACAGAATTTTAATTTCGGAGTGAGCTATTACTCATTTAACTCCTTTAAAGGAGCCATATAATTTTTCTTAAGTCACATAATTTGTCTATGTCATAAGGTCTACTTAAATAGATCAATAAAGCTTTATGTGCCAAAAATAGTCATGATTTAGTTTTTCATGACCATTTTCCTCCCACTTTCTCCCCTTGTGACGAGTGGGGCGGGGCCGAGAGCCGTGGGAACGGAGCGAGGCCGGTGGAGTAAT